AAGTATGGAGGCGTATGGATCCTTCCTACATGGTGGCGCTGCCGTCGCTCTGTATACTTCCATCCTTCCACTTCCCACCACCCAACCAACCAGTGCAACTCCGCTGTAGCGGCAGACAATCTACTCTACTTACTTCTACTGTACCCAGGAGGCAGCACCTTGTAGCATCCGACTGACTCGTTTATACTAATTTGATTATTTTTTTTATTCTCTTTACACCATCCCCGCCCTGATTGTCACTTGCTCTTACTGATCACTCCGCGTCACTCCCCACCACGTACTGCCATGCAGGCCTCTCCCGCGCTCTTAGTCACCGAGTCTTGCTCTCCAGAACCCACCCAACTTGTCTTACTTACGCTGTAATGGTTGCCTCTGAGTGATTTCAGTTGATATATATATATACATATATATCTATATACATACATTTACCAGTCTTATTACTACTATGCTTCACGTATTCCAACCTTGATTTGATACATGGATCTTCCATTCCACCGTCGCTTCTGATTGCTCGTGCTGTGAATGAATTACCTTTAATACCCAGTACAAGGCTGCGATCAAGACACTTCTCTTTTTTGAATGGTAGAGGCGTTGATCAGTAGGCCAGCAGTTGGCATAAGGACCTAAAACACCTTAGTTGGATTTAATGATGGTTTATGCCTTGGGATTATCCACTGCTGGGAGCCATCTGGACGGGAATTTTGCCCCAGTAATTTTGACATGAAGTTAACCTGCCTGGACATCCGTTTAACGACGAGAAAAGAAGCTAAGAAATTCGATGATAAACCAGACTTAGAATTTTTTTGATGATAAAGTTTTTGAACCCAGTTCTAAACAGAGTTGATAACTCATTTTTAAAAAGAAAAGAAAAAAATATTTTTGAGCTCCTGAGCCCTTTTTAAGGAAGCTCCGCATTTTTTTTTTTTTTTATTATTCATTTTTTTTATTTGTAACATTTCCGAGGGGGCCTATTTTGTAAATACCTTTAACATTTCCCGAGTTTTGTTCCGAATTAATGAGCGCTAAGTCTGATTGGCTGTGTTACTAGCTTATGTAACTAAGGCAGCATGGCAGCATGTTAACTTCATGAAGCAAAATGGATTGATACACCGGTCTAGACAATAGATTGAGCCTAGTGTATATTCTAGTAATCCGTATGTAATGAGCACTTGGATCGTGTCTAGACATACAGATGCTGAGCCCCATTTCTCTTAGTGTTCTAAAACTTAAAAGCATTTCTGTAAAGGCGGGGAGGTCGGCCCCTTAAATCACGTAGGAAGGTGCTGTCTTAGAGCTTCCTCGGCGCCTCTAGGAACCTAGGTGGCCTCGCCCGCCGCTGGCATTCCCGGGATCCCGAGCCAAGAGTGTTCTCGGAGGCCTCGTGCGCACCCTGGAACTCAAGGGTGCTCCCCTGAGGCCCAGTATGCACCCTGAGACCTCTAAGAGTGCACCCTAAGAACCACTGTGTACTCTAAGACCTAAGCATACGCTAAGATCGAGCTCCTGAGGCCCAGTGTGTACCCTGATACTTAGGGATGCTCTTTTTGAGACATTGTGTACTCTGAGTCCCGCGGCTCTGCTCCTGGGACCTAGGGTGTACTTCGAGACTCAAGGGTGCATACTTGAGCCTCGATGATGACGGGATATCCTTCGGGAAGCTAGTGTGCACTTTGGCCGGCGAACTCTCTGGGCCTGACGTATACTCCTGGAAGCTCGAGCTTACCGAAGGAAGCTGAGGTGCAAGCGAGGACTCTAGAGTATACTTCTGGAAACGAGTGTTCTCTGGGACCCTGGAGAGCGCCCCACTGCTAGTTAAAAAGATTAGTCAACCTGTCTTGTGATCGACCAATGAGTGATTCATAATGTATGTACCATAGATGACTTAGAGAGAGATTCGAGGCTGATGATAGACCCAAAGGATATACTTGCAGGGTATATCGTAGCATATACCGCAAGCTAGGGTAGATTACCACTCGAGGGCCCCCCTGGTGGTCGGCTCGGTGATCTATTGCTATCTATTATCTAGACCCGGAAGTAAATACTGCATGTCCAGTTTTGTACACTATTGTTTACTTTATGATCATGTGCACAAAGTTTGATAACAAGGGTGACGTAGAACACCCGCACCATTGCCCACACTACGCTAACTACCTCGTCTTCAGGTAGTTTTGTTGATGATGATGATGATTGGTGATGAGATAATGATGATGATGATGATGAGTTGTACATGAACAGAACGACGCAAACAAGCGCTTTCACACAATAGACGGATTAAGAAACCAGACACAATCAATAGCAGGATAACGACGTCCTTTCACCACAGACAGCCAACGGACAACGTTACGGCGCCGCGGCAGGTGGTCACTCGGTTCCCCGCAGTGCCAGATGCCATGACACTCACGAGGTGTTCGGTTTCTGGTGCCGAGAGCGAACACGAGTCTTTCTGCCTGACGTGACACCTATAGAGAGTCATTCGATAGGACTTCCACACGACAAATGACAAATATCACCGACAGAAACTCACGCTCATCGACACTTTACAAATGCCAAAACAGGATGGATTATCCCTGTGTAATTCTCCCTCCTCCTAATCCATTATCCTTCGATTTCACTCGCCATTAGTAACCCTCATTACTCATGTCGCATTCATCCTCTTTCCGTCTCGTCTGTCACCTTTCTTCCTCGTCCCTTGCTCGTTCTTGTCTCCCATCACTCTCCTTCTTCTATTACTCGTATTCTCATTCACCCTCTTCGGCTTTCTCTTGTTTTATCAATATTCGTTACCTTTCATCACTCTCTGTCACTTTCCTTTGGCTTGATTACTTCTCTCGCTTACCGATGTTTCAGAACTTCCAGATCATTCTCTCTCTCTCTCTCTCTCTCTCTCTCTCTCTCTCTCTCTCTCTCTCTCTCCTCTCTCTCTCTCTCTCTCTCTCTCTCTCTCTCTCTCTCTCTCTTCTCTCTCTCCTCTTCTATCTATCTCTCTCTCTCTCTCTCTCTCTCTCTCTCTCTCTCTCTCTCTCTCTCTCTCTCTCTCTCTCTCTCTCTCTCTCTCTCTCCCTCCTCCCTCTCTCCCTCTCTCCCCTCTCTCCCTCTCTCCCTTTCTCCCTTTATCACTCACTCCCTCCCCCCCCCCCCCCCCCTCTCTCTCTCTCCTTATCCATTTATTTCCTACCACATTTATATCACCACTTTTTCTTGCGTCCCCTTCTTCATCTTCGTCGTCAGCTTTTCGCTTCTATCTATCTTCCCATAACTATTCTATCTTTCTTCTTCGTTAACGCTGTTCCTGAATCCCATTGCGCTTCAAGCTAGCAAACTCTCCGTCATTTCGGTGCAGGATAATCTCCGCCTCATTGCACTCATTGCTCTGAATATGTCGGAGTTGGGTGAGTTGCCGGACGGACTGACTTAACCAACAACTCCCTCATTTACTTTGTAACCTTGCTCTCCTTCTATCTTTCTCTTCCTCCTTTTTCCCTCTTTCCTCTTCCTCCGTCTTCCTTTTCCCTTCTTTCTTCATCTTCTACTCCTTCTTCTCATCTCTCCTCCTCCTCCCCTCTTTCCTCATCCTCGTCCCCTCTTTCCCCATCCTCCCTCTCCTTCCTTATTCTTTTCCTCTTCAATTTTCTCATCTCGTATACTTATTCTCTTCCTTTTTGTCATCTCAACCTCTCACTTCTCCAGCATTTCCCCTCTCTTTCCCCTTTCCTATTTCCTCCATCTCCCCAGGTTTCCATTCCCCACCTACCTTACCCTCTTCTTCTCTTATTCTCTCCTCCATCACTTCTCCATCGCCTGACCTCTCCATTCCTCCAACATCCTTCCTCTCCTTTCCCCTCTCCTCTCCCCTTCTTATCTCCCTTCACTTTTCAAATATTCCACCGCTCCCCCTAGCCTTCCTCTCCCCCCATCTTATCTTACCTCTCCACTTTTCCAACGTTCCTCCTCTCCTTCCCCTCTCCTTTCTCTAGATATTGTCTCACCACTCTTCCCTTTTCATCGCCTCCCTTGCCCACTCCATAATCTCCTCTTGGCCCCACCCCCCTCCTCTCCTCCCCCCCCCCCTCCCCGTGCTCCTATCGCCGCCAGATGGACCTCGTGGACCAACACATTCGGACAAACAAACAGAAGGAAATGCACAGATAAACATACACACGGTATGTAAACAAACTCACGCATATATACATACTCGGCGTCAAATGTACGGTAAAGTAAATACCAGCAGACGAACACGCACACACACACACACACACACTCACTCACTCACTCACCACTCACACTCACTCACACTCACTCACTCACTCACTCACTCACTCACTCACTTCACTCACTTCACTCACTCACTCACACCACACACACACACACACACACACACACACACACACACACACACACACACACACACACACACACACACACACACACACACACACACACACACACACAAGCATGCACGCAACCAAACACACAAACAAACAAATAAACATACGCACGACTAGACAAACAAAGAGCCAGACACAGACATTCGCAAAGCAAAAAGACTCCAAAAGACTCTCCGGAAAGGAGGACGAGACCGCCATCGCAGACGACCCCACTGACACGCGCTCGTCACTCGTCACTTGTACATAGCCGCGGAGGGACGGTGAATTTTGCCTCACCGTCGCCTCCCTTTACTCTAGAGCTGGTCACTTCGCCAGCGCTCTGTACTAGCCATGACCAAAGTAAATTCTCTTGCTCCCCCTCTCCCCCTCTCCCCCCTCTCCCCCTCCCCCTCTAGTGTTCATATATTGTACGCTTACCCTGCGCCCGTGAGAGTGGTTGGCGCTATTTACTATTAATTATTATTATTATTATTGTTACTATTATTGTTTTATGGTCTCTTTATATGCTGTTCTATTATTCTATACAGATCCTTGGCTATAACGACTTTATTTGAATGTCTCCCTTCCCCCTCTCCCTCTCTTACCCAAATTCATTATTCAAGTTGTAGGAAAAACAGTTATATTTAGATAGATATTTTCCAAATATGTGATTCTTAAAACGACATTAATAGGGAAGATAGTGTTTTTTAAGACTATAATGTAGGTGATACTCCCTTATTTTTTTTTCTTTCGACCACATTTTTTTTACGTATATTCACTTCAGTATCTCCCCATTCCCCAGTACTCCCCCTATGCCCAACCCCCTCCTCATCCCAAGAACCCCCTACCCCCTACCCGGGAGCAGAAAGAGCTAACACGAACTCCCTTCCTCTCCCTCGCCCCAACAGTGATCTGCGCGCAAGGCCTAATCGCCAAGGACAAGAGCGGGACATCTGACCCTTACGTGACCGTCCAGGTGGGGAAGACGAAGAAGCGAACCCACACCGTCCCTCAGGAGCTCAACCCCGTCTGGAATGAGAAGTTCTACTTGTGAGTTTTCATTGGAGAGATCGCCGTGGCTTGTGTGGCGGGGGTTGGTGTGTGTGTGTTGTGTGTGTGTGTGTGTGTGTGTGTGTGTGTGTGTGTGTGTGTGTGTGTGTGTGTGTGTGTGTGTGTGTGTGTGTGTGTGTGTGTGTGTGTGTGTGTGTGTGTGTGTGTGCGTATGACTTCATATGTCTAGGTATCTGTTCACTTATTATATGTAAGTGGCAGGTGTGTGTGTATATAAGTCCATATATAGCCACAATTTGCTTTGAGTATTTAGTTACACCAGAGTCAACATTTCATCTAATCAGCGAGGCACGCGCAGTTCAAAAGGCTCTCCGCGCTTCTATCTTTGCTCTTCCCTTTGCCTTTCCCTCTGCCTCTTCTCTACAGGCACTCCAAACGTTTCCAAACGTTTTTCAAGCTCAGCGAAACTGCCCACGCCATTCGTTTCATGTTTCTGTTTCTCGTTTTCTCCCCCCACTCTCTCTCTCTCTCTTCTCTCTCTCTCTCTCCTCCTCTCTCCTCTCTCTCTCTCTCTCTCTCTCTCTCTCTCTCTCTCTCTCTCTCTCTCTCTCTCTCTCTCCTCTCTCCTCTCTCCCTCCCTCCCTCCCTCTCTCTCTCTCTCTCCCTCTCTCTCTCTCTCCCTCTCTCTCTCTTCCCTCTCTCTCTTCCCTCTCTCTCTTCCCTCTCTCTCTCTCTCTCTCTTTCTTTTTCTCCCTTTCCCCGCCCATCCCTCCTTATCATCAGTTTTTCCCCACTCCCCTCTCCCTCCCCTCCCCCTCCCGCCGCCCCATATCAAAACTTTTTCACGGTCGACGATCTTTTTTTCCCCATTGAGAGTCAGTTCTTATCTGCATCACTGATCCGTCTTGGAGTAAGTTGCCTGCCACGCCCCCCTTTTCCCTTGACCCTCCCCCCCCTCCTCCCCCCTCCCCACCCTCTTCTCCATTTTTTAAAGCTTATTCATTTTGAAGCTTCTTTCGCAAACTCGATTCTGGGCCTGTAAAATCCGTCTTGGGTATCGCTGGCTTCAGTGTTGAGCATTCGGTTTTCCTCTCATCTCTTGCCAAACTCAATTAAAGTTTAACCTCGTTTTTATGATTCCTTTTTTTTCTTTCTTGCTTTTTTTCCTTTTTTTTTCTTTACTCGTGGTTGTAAAAATCTCTTCGAGGCATAAGAGGAAAAGATGTAGGAAAAAGACGAAAAAAAAGAACGTGCCTTTTGTTTACATGAAAATTTGACTTTGTTTTTTTTTTTTTTCTTCTTCTTCCTTGAATTCCGTGTTTCCGTTCTTTATCAGTTTTAAAAACTTGGCGCGTTGTATTTCGCTTTCTTTTTCCTTTCTAACTCTGCAGCTTTCATTTTCTTTCACTTTCTTCAAAGGATCAAAAAGATCTTTCATCATCTTCATTCACCTTAGTTTGGAGTGCCCAATTTTTATCTTTTCATATTTTTCTTGAAGGGATATTGACAATGTTGTCTTTTACTTGCACACAATCCCTGTGATCTCAATTTCTCTTTTTGTTTCATATTTTTTTTCATATTTCTTTCTTTCCATTGTTTCTACAATTTTCACTCAATTCCCTGTTTTTATTTTTTCTCCCTTACCTTGTCTTATATTCCCACGTGCGGTAGAATGTTCGCTTGTGTTGTAATACTTCAAACTAATTATCGTAAGTAATTATCAAACAACCCTAAGTAATCATAGGTAATTATTCATCTTGTTATTTCATTCGCTCAAAATGGAATCCCTTTGATGAAGCCTGACTGAACTGTGCAAGCCCACGTGTCGAATCTTGCCTCGAGAATCCAAACACCTCGTAAAAAAGTTACCTTGGTGGCTTCCGTCTTAGCACTCCACTCGCTCTGCCACCAAATTTCGACCCCATTTCCACCCCTGTGCCACCTCTATGCCACCCGCCTGCCGCCAGTGCCACACGCTAACACGCCCTTTGGTTGCAGCGAGTGCCACAACTCCAGCGACAGGATCAAGGTCCGCGTGTGGGACGAGGACAACGACATCAAGTCAAAGCTGCGGCAGAAACTGACGAGGGAGAGCGATGACTTCCTCGGCCAGACCATCATCGAGGTGAGTACCGACGAAAGGTCTTCGTATGGTGTCTCTTCTCCCTCCTTCCCTCCTTTCCTCTTTCCCTCTCGCTCTCTTTTCTGTCGTTCATTCATCTCCTCGCTCCTTCTTCCTTCTTCTCCCTAATCCTCTCTCATTCTCCTTCCTTCTCCCTCCTTCACTTCCAATATCTTTCATTCACTAACCTCTTCTCTCATTCTCCCTTTTTCTCCATCATTCACTCCCGACCTCTCTTCTTCTTCCTCCTTTCTTCTCATTCCTTTCCTTCTCTTTTTTCCCTGCTTCACTCTCCAGCTCGACCTCTTTCCTATCTCCTCTCGATCTCTCCCCTCTTCCCCCTAGTTTCTCCTTCCCTCCTTTTCCCTGCTTCACTCTCCACCTCTCTCCTTCTTCCTCCCTCTTTTTCCTTCCCCCCTCTTTCTCAAGGACTCCACACGACGTCCTCTAGCATGCCAAGGAGCTCATTCTTGTCCTTGTTGAATTAGACCTTCTTCGAGAGCCCATTGTGCGTCTCAAAAGAAATTGAAAATACGGAAAGCCGGAGATGTGTAAGTGGTATTCAAGATATTTCTGGGAAAACGATTATTTATTTCTCCATTTTTTTTTTCTGTTGAGAGAGGAATAGGGATTGTTTTTTTTTTAAGGGAATAGTAGAGAACAGAGACCTATAAATTTGGAGAATAATTGGATGGAACGAATAAGATAAAAGAGAAACGAGAAACAGATTTGCGAAGGAGGAGCGACGGAAGGAGAGAGAGAGAGAGGGGGAATGAGATTGCGTCTGAGTCTCTCTTCCTGCTAATGGGGCAAGGTCGCTCTTCGCAAGGGCCGTTCAAGGAGGTGACGGGAAGCTTATGCGTTATTCAAGACATCGAGTTGACATTCAGCTTTAAAGGCAGGTCTGCGCCGCGCCTCGCCCTGGCATGGCCGATAATACACGGTGAAGAATACGCGAGCGTGGGAAAAAAGGTGTTTTTCTTAACTGGCCTTAATGATGCGGTTCCTTCTTTTTTTGATGTATTCGTTTACATGAAAGAAATGTGTGTGCGTGCGTGCGTGCGTGTGTGTGTGTGTGTGTGTGTGTGTGTGTGTGTGTGTGTGTGTGTGTGTGTGTGTGTGTGTGTGTGTGTGTGTGTGTGTGTGTGTGTGTGTGTGTGTGTGTGTGCGTGCGTGCGTGCGTGCGTGCGCGTGCGTGCGTGCGCCGTGTCTTTCTGCGTGTGCGTGAGTGTGTTTGGGTTTGTCTGTATTCTGAAAGGTGTTCCTACAAAGTTTTTTAGATCTTGAGATAATAGGTTGGATGTTGCCTCATACTGTGACCACAACCATCTATATAGTGATATGTGTCCTTAACCAACTGGTGGGCGTTGATCATGTAGCTCAAGAAAGCCTTGAATAAATAGGGCATCTTTTATGATGTTTACATTTCAAATAAATGGAGAGTTATCCATGCAAGGTCGATGAAGATTATAATGATAAGATACAGAAGATAGAATAAGCAAGAAAAATAATGAAGATAGTACTAATAAAAAAGAATAATAGTAATGATAATGGAGGTAAATAGACAAAGACGATAATGATCATATTTAAGTTATGGTAATGATAGCAATGATAATAGTAAGAAAAATATTATCATAGACATGAAAATTATAATAGTAATGATATAATAATGAAAATAATCATTATAGTAATAATGATAATGATGATATTGATGATAAGGACAATGACTATAATAACAATGATGATGATGATGATGGTGATAACAATAATGGAATTATGCACTGCCGAGAATGATAATGATGATAATAATATTATTATTAAGAGTAAATAATGATAATTATAATGATAATAAAAATAATAATGAAAATAATTACCATGATGATTATTATAATAATTTTAGTGATAATGATAATAATGATCATACTAACAGTAATTATGGTAATGATAATAATGATGATAATAATAATGTAATCTGATATAAAATGACATGATGATAATGATAATAATAATGATAATAGCAATTAAAATGATCATAACAATGATAATGATAATGAAAATAGTAATGATAATAACAATAATTATAATACTATTCAACATCATCATGATAACAAACTTGACTTGCTAATGGTTCTTCAGTCTTACCAGAAGATTCACGTTCCTTTATTGTTTATCATTAAAGTGGAAAAGCCTTTTAGTGGGACGAAAGAGGCGCGGAGGGGAAATGAGCATCACTAAGGAGAGGGAAGCTCTGTGTGTAGTGTGTGGGGGAACTTCCGTGAGTAGGGGGGAGATTTTGAAAGCGGCGGGGAAACTTTGATGAGGTTGGGGGAACTTTGGTCTGCGGTCAAGGGAGAAGGGGAGAGGGTAGCTGGGGATTTTGCTGAGGTGGCGAGGGCGAAGTAGGGGAAAATTTGGTGTGTAGGGAAGGGGAGGAGTTTCTGCTTAGGGAATTTCTGATGCGGTGGAAAGGGGGGGGGGATTTTGTTAAGCAGGGAAATGAGCATCACTAAGGAGAGGGAAGCTTTGGTGCATGTAGTGCGTGGGGGAACTTCCGTGAGTAGCGGGGTGATTTTGAAAGCCGGTTTGGGGAAATTTGGTAAGCGGTCAAGAGGGAAGGGGAGGGGGAGGGGGATTTTGCTGAAATGGCGAGGAGAAGTAGGGGAAATTTCAATGTGTAGGGAAAGGGAGGAGTTTGACTTCTGTTTAGGGAATTTCTGATGCGACGAGGAGGGGGGGGGAGGGAATTATGTTAAGCAGGGAAGTCGACGGGGGGGGGGGAAGCAAGGAAGAGAGAGATGGAAGTTGGAAGAGAGAAAAGAAATAACGGAGATAGAGAGATAGGGAGGGGAAGGTAGAAACTAGAGAGACAGAGCGGAGAGAGAGGGAGAGAGAGAAAGAGGGGGAGGGAGAATGAAAGAGAGATGCAAAGAGTAAGAGAGAGAAACAAAAAAAGGTACAAACATCAAATGCACACCGCATTTACTCAGACGACAACACCGCTATTAAAAACGAGGACAAATCCGGCGCACCGAATCAAAAAAAATGAAAAAAAAGAAAAGAAAAGAAAAAAAAGACGTAGCAAACATTGACACGTCGAACAACAGGTCGATGATGCGTGAACAAGAAAATCACAAAGGAAAACAACAACAATAAGTCCTTCGCTCTAGACAGAAAGAAGGAAGGTTAGCATGAGATTGCCGACGAAAGCACGGGAGGAAATGGCGGAAGCGGAGAGGTAATCTATATGATAATTCAGCGGATCGGGAAAACCGACTCGAGTGAAATGCTTGTCGGCTTTACAGGGGGGAGAGGTGAGAAAGGGAGGGGGGAGCGAAGAGAAGGGGGAGGTGAGAAGAAGGGAGAAGGGGAAGGGGAGGAGGATGGAGAGAGAAGGGGAAGGGGGAGAGGTGAGAAAGGGGGGGAGCGAAGACAAGGGGGAGGTGAGAACAAGGGAGAAAGGGAGGGGAGAGGATGGAGAGAAAGGGGAGGGGGGGAGAGGTGAGAAAGGGAGGGGGGAGCAAAGAGAAGGGGAGGTGAGAAGAAGGGAGAAGGGGAGGGGGAGGAGGATGGAGAGAGAAGGGGAGGGGGGAGAGGTGAGAAAGGGAGGGGGGGGGAGCGAAGAGAAGGGGGAGTTGAGAAGAAGGGAGAAAGGGAGGGGAGGAGGATGGAGAGAGAAGGGAGGGGGGTGAGGGGAGAGAGAAGGGGAAGGGGAGAGGAGGGAGAGAGAAGGGGAGGGGGAGGAATGGGCGGTGAGAAAGGGAAAAGGGAGGGGAGGGGATGAGAATGGGGTAGTGGAAGGTGAGAAGAAAAACGAGAGATCGGAAGGGGGAGGGGAAGTGAGAGGGAGACGGGAAGGGGAAGATGTATGAAAGATATGGGGGAAATTATGGAAAATGAAATGAGAGCAGGAGGATAATGGGAAGGGGGAATGTAAGGGTAAGAGGGGAGGGACGGGAGGAGAATGAAGGGAAATGAAGAGAGAAGAGGGAAATGGGGAGGACGGAGAGAATCGTGGCAGGGGTGGGTGAGGGGAAGGGAGGGGAGGAAGTGAGGGAGGCAGTTGATTGGACACCCAAGATCTGTTAGCGACAGGTTGTCTTGAAAGACGAAAATAATGATCAGAATAAAAATGCGGGGGAAGAGGGAGGCAAAGGAGAAGAAACTCGAAAGAGTGACATGGACAGGAAGAAAAGAAGACAGTAATTTACGTCTTTACTACCATTATCAATATAAAGAGCAGTAAATGTCCTACTTTTAAGCACTACATTTACAAAGCAAGTAGCCAGCCAGCAGCTAATGCCATCTACCAGCCTTCTCTCTCTAAACAATTAATTACAAATGACATTTTAATCGTGTTCGGAAGCTTACATCAGCTGAGTTTTAGAAGAAAAAAAATCAAAGGGTATTATGCTTATGTAGCAGCGGAAATTACGTCATAAATTATATGAACTCGTTGCAGTACTGGAAAAGATCTAGAATTAGGTCATTTGCTTCATAATTCCCTCCTTTTGTATATTTTGTAAAAAGAAAGCATTATGATTGTTCAGTGCATGATTGTTTTTTTTTTATTTCCTGAGATGAATGCTAATAGGAAGGGATTTTTTTAGCTAGGCTTTAATGGATAATATGTATATATATTTTTCTTTTTGGTTAAGCCAAAGTGATTATTTTTATGTCTGATATAAACTGTTGTTCGGGAAGGATTTATATGATGGATATTTTTCAATTTATTTAATGATGATGGCGAGGAACCTGGATAATGAGTATTTAATCTGCTTAAGAGTTACATAATGTGCAGATTGTTGTTAGATTCTTATTATTAAAAATAGGATGAGAGAATGAGAGAGAGAGAGAAAGAAAGAGAGAGAGAGAGAGAGAGAGAGAGAGAGAGAGAGAGAGAGAAACACGTACACACACACGCGCGCGCGCGCGCGCGCACAGACACAGACACACACACGCACTCACATGCGTGTGTGTGTGTAAATGTGTGGGTGTGTATGTAT